AATGTTGTCATTAAGCTCATTTAACACTGTTGAACTATGAATGAAAGATAACAACGAGCGCTGTAATCTTTTAGCGACTATTTACACTAGCAAACAAGCTACAAATTTGATTTGGTTCATAACGGTACTTCTTGCGAAAGAATTAGCCCCCACATAAACACACACAAAGATTTTTTGAGAAATAAAAGTAAATTACTACTAGCTGAATCACTCTTTTAGTTGATAAAAAGGAAGAGCTGTAGAAACGTTACAATAGGTAACACTACATTTGCACTAAACTGGAAACCAATACGAAAAAAATATTGTTGTCTTTCAGTAATAATTATCAAAGTTGAATGAAATGAAAGAATAATACAATCACTATTCACCATGAACATAAAGTTAAATATTTTTCTGAAAATATAACTGAAATGTTATATTCACAAAAATCTTGACTTGTACATTGAAGTGAACTAGGTGTGGCTGCTCTCTACTTACACATAAGCACGAAAAGTATAAAACCTTATTATAATCTCTGATTTTTATTTTCTGAAGGGAACATGCCAGACGTCTGGACATGCCGTTTATACACTCACTAATCTTTCCACTCGAAAACACCCAATCTTCGATAGCAAAACTTCGCCATTTTTACCTCGCTATTATCCCATAATCGTACTGCTTGACGAAATGTCAACTACTTTCAGTGGATTGATTACAACTGAATTAACGACAGATATGTGTACTCTCTATTAATTTTAACATATTAAAATTCAGAGTTTCAATTTTTAAAGCGGTTAATGAGATGAAGTGAAAACATAATTCCGACCAACTACCTTTCATTTAAAGTAAATATCAGAAAATGTACCTGAGTACTAATCTCAAACTTCCTTCTAAAAGAAAGTTTTTAGTGTTTTAGGTATAAAGGTTATGGATTAATCATTTTAACAAAAGAGGTTTCATCTCAAAAAAGTTTGGTAAACCCTGATCCGAACGTTTCTAAGGATTAAAACACTTCTTTCACCGAACCACGTCAGCCCTACACAGAAAACAATGGCCGCGATCCCGAATCGTTCAGCTGAAAAAACACCCGCAACGTGAGTGAAACGATTGCCACCCAATCGAAGAGGGGGAATCGAATCGAATCGAATCGAATCTCGCTTCGAGAAGGGAAAGGATGTGCACGCGCCTCGCTCCTCAAAACAAGTCTCTTTCTCGGCGAACAAAGTTGGTCGCGCGCCGCCTGCGGAGCACGGGCGGCTCCACTTCAAAGAGGCCCCTCTGAGGGCATCAGCGGCACCACGCCCCCTGCGGGGAGGGCGGGGCCACGCCCCCTGCGAACCCGCTCTGTTCCTAGAGGGCCTTGACCGGGCGGCTCGAGTTCTGGCAACGCCCCCTGGAGATAGAAGGCCTCGCAACCAACTCGAAAGAGGCGCGTGACGTCATCAAACTTAGGCAATTTGTCATTCGATCAAGTTAATAAATAATACGTGAGAAAATTGGAGTTGGTTTATTTCTATCTTACTAAATTGCTACTTCTACTCAAGACGTTCGATATTTCCATAGTAAGTTGTAGAGAGACCGTAAGTAATTTGTTCTGCTCAATAATTTTACGAGAACACTGTCGTGTTTTAACTGAATCTACGTGTTTCACCAGAAATCAGAAGTAATGTAGTTCTTAAAATTTTCAATTGACGTATTAGTTATTGAAAATTTACAAGTATGCATCTAAAATTTATTTACATCCAGTTTTTTTCTGTCAGGTAGATCGAGGTATTTTATTGCAAGCTAATCATTGTTTAGTTTAATTATGCAAGGCAAAATTTGCTCATAGCTTATAAAATATGTTTAATAAGTAGCATTTTCTTTGGCATTATACTTATTTTTTGTTGCATTGATAATGAAACAAGGCACCTAAGCACTAAGGCGACGCAGGCAAACGTCGATGCAGCAATCGATGTAAATGTGATGACGTCATTGCATTGAATTGAATTGAAGGCTTATTTTACGTGGTGAGGCTCGAGCCATCAGGCCCGCTCTTCCGCCTGACCCCACATATTTCGCTCTGCTCCTTTCATCAACTAGCGAAGAAAGAAGGTATTTCTTGGGCGAAGAAACAGGCGAATTGAATTTTGCTCAGAGACGTCATTTAGGCTTGAGGATCTTTTACATGCAAGTAAATTTACTAACATGGGTCAGCCGAAGGAAGGCGTACCAAGGATTTCTTCGTCCTTAAAAATCGGGTTTGAACCCTACAACTTGGTATAACAATCCGATACGCTAACCGTTACACCATCGCCGCCCCGTCATTGCTTGTTCTGAGGCCTTCTGTGGGGTCGGTGTTGGTTCTGGTCGAGGTGGCGAGACGACGCGCTGTGGAAAATAAATAAGATTGAAAATGTCATCTATTTGGTGTTCCTTCCTCTTTTCGTTCTTTTCTTTCACACTGGTGAGATATTGTTTACATAAGCGCAACAACCTTTCTCCTCCATAACCTTACCAACTCGTTTCGAAAATTAAGTCTCCAAGATATTCACCAACGTCGCCCGTTAACCTCCAACGCTTACAACTCTCAGAAAGTTTCTGAATTTTGTGTCGTTAGTAAGAGCACTCCCTCTTCTCCTTACACAAAATGTGCCTACAAACATAAACAAGATTTTCGTTAGAGTATCTACATCATGGATCTAGGCATATATTCATGGCTCTATGAGCTACATAAATGATAAACTTTTCACCTCACAAATACTCGCTGTTTATTCCCTTTCTCTTGTCTGACACATGCAAACATTGTGTTACAACGTGGGAAAGAATGTAAAAAAGGTTTTCGCTACTCATACGTCGTTCAGAACATTGAGAGCAACCTCACATTAAGTTGAGAATGTAGTCTTAAAATGCATTACCTACTACACTTTTATTCATAAATTATATTGCTTGCTAGTTATGTTAATTAGTTAATTGTTAATAATTCTGTTATTTTCAGTTTTATGTATTTGCAATATAAAACATGTTATATCTATAATTAAAATTACATTAAATCAATTGACTGTACGTAATACGTATTAAATCTCTGATTTTCTTAAAACATGAGACACTGAAAATAATTTTATTCGTACACTTTGCAAGCATTTACTTACTTCAGAGAAGATTGATTAACGAGTAAATTACTCAGCTAATCTTGGAGACGAAAATTTCCTGTGAAAAGTAAGAGCTCATTCGCTTTATTAAGTGTCGAAGTACGTACTCGAAAAATACGAGTTTAAAGTATTAACCATGGTTTATTCAAGCGCACCCTTTCTTATTTACCGTCAGCTAAGACATTGAACAATTAATATACATGTACGTCCTATATTACAAATATAAGAAATAAAAGCTTATGAAAGTGTCATAAAAATATTGTGCAAGAAATTCAAAATAATTTACTTTATTTAAAAGAAATTAATTCATGCACAAATTCACAGCACTTTTCACGATCCCATTTCACACTTGATGAAAAATTTCACAGATATCAACTATTTTCACTGGTCGCAATATCTGACAAGATATCCGTAACAACTAAGAAATAAGTAGATGGAGTGATTTAATTTCCTCTTTATGAATATATAAACCATGCATATTTTATTATAAGTTATTACATGGATGAATCTAGTCATCCCGATAAACACAAATCACAAATAGTCATGTTGCTAACGCTTTCAGAAATGGTTTTATGAAAAGGAAACAATGAAAATTACATATTCTTGTTGCTTCGAGACTTTCTGATACCCTAGCAACGTTGACAAACGCTGATCAGTAATTCCTCAACAGCAGCGTGCAGGTCTTCTTCTCAGAGCTTCTTGGTGAGAGTATCATTCCTATAAAATCGGTCGTGATCGAATTTTAACTTTACGCTTAGAAAACGTTTATTATCTTAGAACTACACTTTAAACAATTTTCCTACCTTGCTTCTTCGACGTTTAGACGCAAAAGTTTTGTTTGATTCGACAACATCGTGAGTGTATCCTATCCACTGTTGGACAAGGCGGATGCCAGATCGGCATGCTTGTTGGAATTGTATTGCCTAGACATGCATTCAACCCGATGGCAAATGCCGCTTGTAAAACTTAGGTGGTGATGATTCCTTCAACACGTTCTTCATGAAACGAGCGGGAAAACATGTCTCCGAGCTGTATTTGTGGATTTGGACCAACGTCGTAGATGAGGTTCGCACAGGCACTATCGCCAACTCTTTTCATCCAGAGCAGTATCACAGGGAAGGAAATGCAGCAATAATTGCCCGTGGCCACTACACCATCGCAAGGAAATTGACTTGTTCTGGACGCTCGCAAGCTTGCGACCAATGCACGCCTGCAGGGCTATCCTCATCTTCCACTCCTTTGGCGGCGTACTGGTTCATGGGTTCGGCGTCAGCTGTGGACGTTGTCGCGACTACGGATAAAAAGCAAATGGAATTCCCAGCATCTATCCAGCTCCAAGTATCAACTCGGTCGTTGAAACCATACAATTCAATATTGACTACTCACACATTTGGAGCTTCAGACTCGCTTTTTATGGTAGACAATGGGTATTACGATATCTGTCGCCCGAATTAGATATTGAACGTCCCCCTACACAAAATCTGAATCGATTATTGCCCAGATTGTATGTTCATTACTGATTCCTTCGTTCGACGGTGCTTTGAATTAACCTGACTGATCCGACCAATTAGTCCTACCCTCGATTCACTTCCCCCTGGTTACCTCGCCCTTCATTTCGGCGAGAAGGCTTACCACGGCAGCTGTCTGGTGGCGGAGATCACCAACGCGTGCTTCAACGGGCCACCAGATGGTGGAAATGCGACCCGCACGGAAGTACATGCGGTGCTGCATGCTGTACCGCGCGACGTGGTCCAGACGTGAACGCTCCATCGCACCATAAGACGAAGCGCACCATCTAGTCGTGGACTGGCCCACCCGTTCAAGTGGCATCGACTACCACGCGCACCGTCGCCCGCGGCAATTCTGCCAAGGTGCACGAAGCCGTTGTGCATGGGTCCAACACGACTGCCATCGCAAGGCGTTGGGCCCGCTCACACAATTCGACCTGACTTACGCCAAGCGAGCCTCCTCACTGTATTCGCGAGGCCATTGGAGAAGGGCAGTTCTCTGAAGCCCGTGAGACCTGCAGCCCTGGAAAGACTACGAGGAGGTGGGCATGGACTCCGTGGAAGGGGAGGGCGAAGGAGCAGAAGAATATTAACCTAATATGTCTGTGTATTTGTTTGGAACATAATTGCAAACTCGTTATTTTATACATCATATCATGCATATGTAATCATATGATGCGTATATTTCTATAAGCAGTGTAGATTAGGATATAAGGGATATAGGGAATATAGAAGCGAATATAAGAAGCATAGGTTAGAATATAAGGAATATTTAATATACTATTACTCTATAATAAATATTGAAATATATGCATGCATTGTACATGTGTGATGTGTTATGTATAAATGTTTACACTGTGAGGCTGACATTTTGTTCCAAAGTTTGTTGTTCATTTTTATGTAAACGAATCAAGACTTGTCTCATGAAAAGGAAACACTTAAACTATGGCTAAGTATGAAACTGGAAAATGTCTAATGAGAAATAAAGTGCATCTGCAATGTTGAATCGGCGTTTTATTGACTGAATGTAATTTACACATTAATTTACTGACATCTCTAAAAATAAGTCCTTCCGTAAAATCACTCATATCTCTCAATTTTACATAATTATTCCTAAGCTATCTGAATATCTTCTTTCCAAAACAACATGAAAAAGATATAAAATCTGAGGCAGAAAATTTACAATTGATGGGTTTAAAGGTTAAAGATCCTAATAATTGTAGTAATTTTACGTAGCAAATTTTACAATTAAATTAAGGCAATCACTCAAATATCCAAATAATTCCTCGCTTAATTCTCTAGAGATTTAGAAATTAAAATTCTCGAAAAACTATTTCAAATATCAGATTTTAATTATCTAATTTTGTATTTAATATAGGAAAAAATGTTGAAGATTTCTACTGTAACATTATATCCATTTTTATTTTGTAAGTTACATTACATTGTTAATGAAACAAAAACTGCTTACTTACCGTGAAAATCACTTAGTTATTGAACGATATTAAATGTCAAAGTTTTGCATTTCTTCAAACTGCAATAACGAATTATTTTATTAACTATTTAGGAATTTGTTTTTAAACAAATTTGTGATCCTGCCTGTTCTGCAACTATCAATGCTAATATTCGGCATTCAGTACATTTCGAAAGCTTAAGTTTCTAATTTTGATCGCTAATCAATAGACTGATCTGAAGAAAATATGCTGAAACAAAATATCTCTGTTATGAGTAAGTTGTTGAAGTGCTTAAACTGTTAAATGGTAATACGGAAAAAAATAACCATAAATTGATAAACAATGAATTATCCTATTTTGCGTATGAAGTAGATTACTCTTGATTCTCTCATGTTTTCTACAGTGCTGCTCGTTCGGCCAAATCAGTAACTTTTGTTCTCGTGTTACACAGTCCCGACGGATTTCTATTGCTGTGGTGTTATTTTGGCTTATGTAAACATGGTAGATGTTCGCTTCTTTTTGTAACGTAAGAATCACAAACTTTCTGTAGTGTAACGAAGTGTTCTTGTGCTCAAAATATCCATTGGGTAAGATATAATAGACACATGTTTATGGAGAAGCTGAAGAAAATTGGTATTGCTGCGAAGAAAATTCATTAGTACAAAAGAAAATTGTTTTCAACAAAATAGTTTGATGGGAAAAAAAATAAGTATCTTCTTTCTTGCTTAAATATTACAGTAGTCGCTTTCACAGAACATGTTTTTGAGAGATTTCTAGAAAGAATTCATTTGTAGTCCCCAAAGTATTTCAACAAAACAGCTATTCCTCCAATGTCGTGGAGATCGCTCACTTCCTTTGCCTTTTATGTATTTAAATAGTAATACTTTAAATATGACATTTATAAATGCGTATTATTAATATCCGTGAAATCATTACGTTATTTTGTCACTCTAGGAACTTCTGTGTCATCTGAAAAAGTATTGTATAGTTTGTACGAAGACATGTTGTTGTACGGGAACGTGTTAAAAATTGGTTTTACCAAAAACGAAGACCAATTGATTTTAGAATATTATATTTCTCAAGAATAAGGTGAGCAGTCCTTAGCCAATCTGAATTGGGTTTGTATATCATGATTACATTTTAATATTTTCACATATGATCTGATTTTCAAAAGAATAAAGAATCAAATTTTTTGCCACTCGGTGTTTCACATTTAGTAAAGTTGAATTCAGTCTTATGTGCGGTAAAGTTCTCTGAAAAGCTGAGTGTATCATTATGAGTTTCTTATTTAAATTCGTGAAAATATTTACGAACAGTACATAAAAACATGCAAACGAAACAGTTCATGACGATATTTTATTGTATTACCCATTTTACAATATAATTAGAACATTTTTGTTATCAATTATCATTCAGATTTTTGTACAATAAATCATCATTTGAAAAGAAATTTAAAATTCAGAAATAAATTAAAACTGTATGGAGATTGTTTATGTATTTTGTTACGTGAACTAATACATTGTCAGGGATAAGAGTCAAAATCAGTGCCTTATTGGTCACTACCAATAGTTTCTATTATGTGTCAGCGAATAGTTCTCATTAAAAACCCGTTTATTTCTAATTAAATTATCATAGTAAAAGATTAGGGTTAGTAATTTCAAAGCGCAAGAAAAGGTGCGCAATTGTACTTCTCCCCACTTTGTCACCCACTTTTTACTGTTTTGTTTTATGTAAATGTTAAAAAATTAAAATTAGAAAAGAAAACCGAAGCATTATCTTCAACTGTTGTATCACTTTTAACGAAACATAAACCTTTCTGTTTTTTCTTGAAACTTAGCAAAATTAAAATTATGCTACAAACTAATTATGTTGAAGTCATGCTGGTAGGTTATGTTTAACACGTCCTGTCAAACGTGTTGTCCTCCTGACAAATTGAAGTGAGATCAAGAAAATAAAACACAATTTGTCCTTACTATTCTAAGTTTCTCCAATGTTCTTCGTTTGCAGAGCATAATTGAAAGAATGTTACATTGCTGAACGTGATAACTATTCTTTCATCTTTAAATTATATGTAAATTTCCTATTTAAATAAATAACGAAATATTTATTGTTGTAATATTATACAGTTGGGCAAAATGATATTTCCGAGGATCTCAAACCACCTGTGCAACCACACATTGTAAATGCACAAGACTATTCGATGCGAAATGTACTGTTGTGAAAAAGTATAATGATTCTTTCAATTTTATAATTTTTAAGGAGGGATCTATAAAAGAAATATTGACAAGTTGAAAAATAACAATGGGGTAGATTACAATATGTTATTAAATCATGTATTCTCATTGATTTCAGGCCTCGGATATGCAACTATTGTAGGCTGGAAATCCATAGAAACCCCCTTCTCTTTTTATAGACCACATTTTGGTTCTAGTTTTGTTCACGTTGCCTTGAGTAGAGAAATAGTATATCTACAGTAAAGATCAACCAGTTTGACCACAGGAAAATTTCTAATATGGAACTAACACTTGAACGTAAACGACTGAGGAAACCAAATCTAAAATCAAGAAACCAACCAGATGTGTACGGAAATAGAACGCGGAGTGTTCAGGTTAGTATGAAATAAAATAAATATTCAATATAATACGAAGAAACCAGAGAAAATCGGAAGATGACAATCAGGTTCACTTCGATGTAAATGTGTTGTTTTTTAAACTATTTCCTAGTGCAAAACCTTTTTTTGTGTGGAGCTGACGTAGGCCGTGAGCAGGACACAACCAGGATAGGGCATTGGCGAAGGCGTGGGAGAAGGAGAATGAGAGGGCGAAGGTGAGGACGAAGGCGTGGAGGAAGGAGAAGGTGAAGGCAATGGCGAGGGCGAAGGCGAAGGCGAGCACGAAAACCAGGGCAAAGGTGAGAGTGAAGGCTTAAGAGATGGCAAGTATGAGAACGAGGGTGAGGACGAGGACGAGGGCGAGGGCAAGGACGAGGATGAGAGAGAGGACGACGAGGACGAGGGCGAGGGCGAGGACGAGGACGAGAGAGAGGACGAGGGCGAGGGCGAGGGCGAGGGCGAGGGCGAGGGCGAGGGCGAAATCAGCCCCCCCCACCCGTGCGCGGTTGGCGTTGCAGAGTGCGTGAGGGCGGCCGCAGTCGCGGCTCGCCGAGGCGGCGCGGAGCCCGGGGGCGGTGGCGGGGGCGGGCGGCGACGACAGCAGGCGTGCTGGCAGCTGCCGCGGCGTGCAGTCGGGCACGGCGGGGCGGGTGGGTGCGGCGCGCGCGGCCACGCTGGCCTGGGCGGCGGGGGACGCTCCGTGCTCTCCACGGCCGAGACGCTCATCGCGCGCATGCACCCGCGACGCGAGCGCGCCGGCGCCGCACTCGCCACGCGCACGCGCACGTACGACTCGTCCCACACGCAGTATGCTCCGGAATAAATGTTACCAATTAAGGGAGAGGGACTGGTTATGTGGTGTGTCCTGAAGTGGACGAGACGCTCACCGCGATGCGAGCGGGGCCGCACACTTTCTCGTACACACGTACGGTACGACATCATCCCACACACGCGTATACACCCAGAATAAATGTTACTAACTTATAGGGGAGAGAAACTGGTTTTGTAGAGCATTCTGAAGTGGACGAGACGCTCATCGCGTGAATGCATTGTCAGAACGTGCGCGGCACTACACACGCACGCCAATAGTACGAGCACAACGGATACACACGCGCTGGTCCAGAATAAATGTCACGAACTTCTAGGAGAGAGAGTCTGGCTTAGGGCATCACCTGATGTCACTACAGTGCCTCTGACCGGGAGGTCTTATGCTTTCACACCGGATGGTGGAAGGGTTTTCGATACTTGCTGGATAGCTAGGTCCCTGTCTGGAAGACAATTCTAGTGGCCGGCTGCTCTGATCAGTAGTTTCACCGATTAACTCTTTTAGGGGAGAGGGATTGCCTTCTTGGTGTGTTCTATCGCGGGTCTATTATTCGTCAAATATTAACACGTCATCTATTGCATGTAATTATTTGCACTTCAACCCCTTAGCAATACACATTCAGTTTTTAACTGTTTTGGACGTTAAGAATAGATTATAAGATTTATAAAAATAAATAAGATAAATAAATTAAGTAATTAAAACTACTGACGTCATTAGTTCCGTGTGTAGTGAGCGTTGTAATTAAGAAGTGACTGTGGTTTTGAAACCCCATGCCATAACACAAGCTTAAGTGGCCCATACATCCAACATCGTCATTTTTGTATTCTCTGCTGTTCGGGTCGTCTAATAAGTTACACAACAAGTGCGCAAAATAGGTTCATTCGCGTACGAGTCGAGCTTGTCGCCAGAGCGTAACTGAAGGCAACAAAAGACGAATGCGCGAATGACCTTACACACGTGTGGTAAACTACTACTTTTTAACACTCCAAGCGCGAAAGATCGCACATGCTTCGCGATGTTTTTGTTAAAATGATAAATATAGCTGTTTCGCGCACGGAGAACAAGTATGAGAAACCGTGTTTCGCGCACGGCGTACTAAGAAAACTATGTCCCATCTTGTCTTTGTGTTTGCGCTTGTTTGTGAGAGGGGCTGAAGGATAAGAGTGTGGAGGAGGGTGAGGATGATGTGGATGAGGATGGCGAGAATGATGTATGTGAAAATGAGGGTGAATGTGTCGATAAAGATGATGAGAGTAAGCATAATGAGGATGACAGGAGTTATGATGATGAGGATGAGGATGTGGATGCTGAGGGTGATTGTTAGGAGGAGAAGGAAGATGTGTGTGTGTGTGTGTGAAGATGATGAGTGTGAGGGGGATGATGATTTGAAATGAGTGTGAGGGTAAGGATGACTGTGAGGGTGCGGGTGAGGAGTGTGAATAAGATGATGAGGATGAGGGTGAGGGTAACGTGGGTGGGTGGGTTGGTTGGTTGGTCGCCAGGCGCGGGCGGGGGCGGGGCGCGGGCCAGGATCGGGATGTCGGCGCTGCAGGGCTCCTTCCACATCCCGACGCTGCCGCCCAGCGCGCTGCTGCGCCCGCCGCCCACCTCCACCGAGATGCTCGTGCAGGCGCTGCGACGCCAGCAGCAGCGAGAGGTCAGCCTCTCCCCCTCCTCCTCTTCCTCCTCTTCTTCTTTTAATTCTGCTTCTACTTTTTATTCTGCTTCTGCTACTTCTTTTCCTCCTCCTCCTCGTCCTCCTCCTCTTTACTGCTTCTCGTGATCCTCCTCATCCTCTTCTTCTTTTGCTACAGCGTCTCGTGATCCAACCTTCTGTTCTTTTTCTTCTTCTTCTTCCTCTTCTTCTTCTTCTTCCTCTTCCTCTTCTTTTAGTTCTGCTTCTGGTGCTCCTGCGCCTGCTTCTGCTACTTCTTTTCCGCCTCCTCTTCTTCATCCTCTTCTTTTACTACTGTTTTCCGTGATCCTCCTTCTCTTTTTCTTTTGCTACTGCATCTCTTGATCCAACCTTCTCCTCTTCGTCTCCTTCTTCTTCTTCTTTTTCTTCAAAGGCCAACAGGGCGCCAAATCAAAAATTCCCAGCAATGCAGCTCACGTCGAAGACGAAAATGGCTAAGATATATCCGGATATTCAAAAACGCAAATTTTTGGAATTCGATAAGCGAGTTTTTTGAATTTGTTATGCGAATTTTTGGAGTTCAATCGAATTTTTTCGATAATTTCAATTTTTCGATATTTAAATTCCCGAAAAAATCTTAATTTCGCGATATTCGAATTTTCCCCTACTTCGACTTTGTGCTAATTGATCTTCCGCCATTCGTAAATTGGAAGGCTTGGGCCGCAGAACTGATGGGCGTGTCCGCCGCTCTGCTTGGCTCGCAGCGCTGCGGACCGCGCAAACATGCGCCCGCTTCCTGGACGCCGTGATCCGAGTAAGGGACGCCCCGCGCCCAGGCAGGGCGGCCCCGCACCGCCGTCGCGCGCCCGCCGCCGCCTAAAGCAGCTACGCTGACGGGCGGACTCCGCCACAAAAGGTGGGCGGCGCGCGCTGGATTTTGGTGCTTCAATGGGCTTGGAATTTACCATAATAATAAACTATGGGAGATTTTTGTTTAAAAAAAGCTGTTATCTTGTAGGATTTTTAGGACAAATGTAATTTAAACCTAATATTTTTACTTATGTAATTAGATCATATCCTTTATATGCAGTTTAAAGCTTGCTCGTGTGCTTGTTTGTAGATGGAGAGAGGAATTTGTAGGTCAAGGAATATTTATATTTTTATGTAAGATGAAAATAATTAATTAAGAATATCAATTTAATTGTTATAAATTTTAATATATAATATTTAAATTTTGGGTGTTTATTTTTATAATGCTTTTGATTTATGGTAGCAATTAACTTAAATAGATTATAAAGAGTAACACATTGAAGATTTTAGGGAGATATTTATAGCTTTCAGTGAATTAATTGAAACCAAAGGAGAGGTATATTATTGTTAACAATATCACTGAATTAATTTTCCAATTAATGAAATATGTTGTACAAAGTTATGCTGCTAACTTATCTGTTTAGCTTTTGTCTCCTTACCTTTATTTTTAAATCCCGTTATTTCAAATTTATATAGTTTATAAACAAATGATATATTTTGATTATTCAGAAAAATTTTAAATATTTATAAATAATTAAGGATTAAGTAATATTTCGTTCATGTCGAAACTGAACGCATGATTACCTCTTAATTGAGATTAATTGAATAAAGGCTTTGAAACATTCTTGCTCCATGGCGACTGAAGTTTTTTAACTGCTGCACTAGCTAGCAACACGAATACCGCGCTATCTACCGGCAATGTTTCTAGCGCCACATTTAAACGAATGCTCGAAATTTGGCGAAACTACTTCCAAATAACGAAGCCTCGCCCGGTATGTTTCGTTTTGAGTGCATTCTGCAGCTACCTAATCCCCCCCCCCCTCGTGGCAGGAGTCCGGGTCGAAGGCGTCCTCGCGCGGGGCAGCCGCCGCTGCCGCCGCCGCTTCCGCCCAGGCCGCGGGGCTGCTGGTGTCGCGGCCGCCCGGCCCCCCGCCCTGCCCCTCGTACGAGACGCTCGTACGCCGCGTCGAGAAGCCCTTGGTACACACGCGCTCCTTCCGCCTTCCATTTAATTGATTGATTGAAATGTGGTTCCGGGCGCCCCTACTGCTAAGGTCATTGTTCCAGTAAGTGTAGTGCATGCTTCCAACGCGGAGGTTGGCGAGATCCGGAGCCACCCTACCCGTCTGTTTGCGGGGTTTTAACCAGAGGCAGCAATTGCAAATTTTCCAAAATTTCACCTTCTGGCCCCTTCAGGGTCTCTCTATAATCGTGTCGCGGTCCTAAGTCTGATACTACCGCGGACCGCTATTGCTGAAAATATAGGAAATTTTGAAATGAAAATATATATTTAATGTTAGAGATAACTATTATGGGAGTTTGGTTTAGTCCCGTAATTTTTTACGTTTTACTTGTCAGTATATTGGTTTTTAAATTACAGATTTAAATCAATAAAATATTTTGATAACGAAAGACTTCGGCGGTGTTAGGTTTACCGTAATGGACTGATATACCCAAGTTTGTGGGTTCATAGTCGATCGAAGAAGTGGATTTTTAAGGGATAAA